GGAGGTAGAAAAAGGGGAAGGTATAACTTGCAGGTGTTGAATGTTAGTTCAAGGATTTATTTTTACATCCTTTCAAACATGTGTTGACATCAGCTAGCAGTTACAATATTTTACAAACTTTTTTATTTTGTGGTCATATTAATCAGGCACGCAATTTCCAATTACCAAACCTATTAATCATTAATTTGAATATTCAATTGGTTTCTTTTAGCACCACATAAGAACTCATCTGAGTTAGAGATTTACTAGACAGGTTGGGCTGAAATGAAAGGCTTCTAAAGAATACAGAATAATGACTGAATAAGCAAGTCTATTGATTAGCTCTTACTTTCCCTTAGACTGATTTCAAAGCTGAAAGCTTTGAGGAAGAGCCACTGAACCCAACTGCTAGTGAGTTCAGCAATAAAAACACTGCTAAAGAAATGCCTCTTTTCTTCCTATTTCTGCTTAAAAGCCTACCCATCTGGCTAAAATAATAAGAATTTTTAATATGAAGTCTCATTGACTTTGTGAGCTTAAGATGTACATAATTCAGGAGGGATCTTGCTGCTGCAAGAAGCTTCAGGAAGATCAATTACACTATTTCAGATAATTTAAACACTTTGGTTCCTGCAAGTCTGCTCAGGAGTAACTGTGAGTTTAAACATACGGCTTCTTAGATAACTTTCTAGATTTTGCAACAAAACATTGTATGGCTTCAATTAGATTCTCAATCTAATTCAATTAGATTAGACAAGCCATGCTGGTCTAGGTGCTACTGCTTGTTTTATAACAATATATAAACAAAAAATACTTTTCCTATTTGAGCAAAAGAGGTAAAAAGGGTTTGTATTTGAGTAGAAAGAAAATCCATCTGTCCCTGCAGAATCCATCCAAAGGACTTTCACAGAATGGAGCTGCAAAAGCGCTCCCAACCTGGTTCTCCCTCATCTGGAGGACAGAGTCATCCCATGCTGGGAGTCCCCCAGCAGAGCCATCTTGTAGAAGGCACCAGGTGTGCTCAGAGTTTCTACCACTAGCAGAACACTCACATTCCCAGCGAGGCTCAGTCGGAGCTTTGCCGCTTCGACAGGGCTGCATCCCCAGCAGCCTCAGCTTCGGGAGGCCTGGGAGGCTCACTGGGCAGCGGGCTGCTTAGCCCGGGCGAAGAAGGCTGAGCTGGGCACGAGGTGCCGCCGCAAGGGTGTACCGGGACGGCAAGGCCTTCTCTCATCAACAGAAAACCAGAAAGCACCACATCCTGCTCACATATTTACAGCAAAACAAGGGCACAGCCCATTACCTATCTCTTCAAAAGCACCATAGTGGTCTTAAAAGCCCCGATTAAACACACTCCTAAAAAGACCAGTTAAAATTACTAATAACCTTCTGCAGTTGTTTTAACTCTACTGTGAGTAGACTGTCCACAGGGAAAATATGTCATGGGCAGATGAAGGAAGATGTGGAAGTATGAGCAGACTTTTGGGGATGTTCAGCAGGGCTTCCTAGTAGTTTAACCACTGCCATTTATTTACCAGTTATCACCTGAGGGAACATGTGAGGCATCCTGAGTCCCCTCAGGCCTGCAGACATTTTTTTTGCCAAAAAGGTTTTATGTAGGGGCAGTGGGAGGGAGGCGTGGTGTTTTTTTTTTTTTTTTTCTTCCCCTTTTTTCTCCAAAGCTGATTTTAACAAAATGCAGGAGTGTGGAAAAGATGAAGTTTAAGGTAGTACAAGTTTCTTGCAGCAAGTAATTCTTTTCTGGGGAAAAGTGCACCTCAGAATGGCCACACGTTGCACATGAGCACCTTGGAAGGCAAGATCTGTCTGTTGTTAACTGGCAGGATAGTGAAACTCATATGTAACTACTTAAGAAAATTCCTAAAGGGTGATGCAGAATTTGGAGATCTCACTGTGGTTGAATGGCATACCACAGAAATGACTTTCTTAATACAGAAGAAAGACTTGCTCAGATTTGGCACCGCGAGAGGAAAGTTACAATATTTAAGGCTGTCTTAGCCTCAGAGCATCATTCTTTGCAGCAAGATAAGCAAAGGGCATCAGGCTGCAGGACCATTTCCAGTTGTATTCTGGAACTGTCAATAATATGTTTTTGGACATGGATCTTATTTTCAGAGCCCATGTTCTTAAAATGGATCAGACAACACATAGGACCGAGCTAAAAGAAAACCTTTGAATGCATCATTAATAGCTTTAAATATACACTTGCTTCTGCAAAAAGTAGGGACAGACTCCTTAGGTGCATTGTGGGTAGCAACTAATTGATAAGGCTCATTCCATAGTGCAAGAGAAATAGCACGATTAGGTCACTTAAGTTCTTCTTAACTGATGTAGCCTTTGACTTTTTAAGCCGGAAATTAAGAGTGAAGGTTGTAGACGTTCACTACACAGATGTTCAACTAGGGTAAGAAGGCAGCATTAATTAAAAATAAAAGGACAGACTGGTTTTAGGTGGCATTCAGGAATTCTTGCATTAGCAGGAACCTTGCTAATAATTCTCCATTCAGAGGAATAAGTCCAGTACCTTCTTTAAATACTGAGAACAGCAAAGCTGCATCATACTGGTTTACATCCAGATGCTTACGTGTCTTGCACAGAACCTGCTCAACCCAGAGACCATTATATGAAAAAAACATCAAAGGAAACTGCATGTGAGCAGCTAGAGAGCTGACTGAGGGCAACAGTGATGAAGATGTTTAAAGCAAGACAAACTTCATTTGTTCTCACTTCTGGGAACTGAACATTAAATAACTTAATAAAACCCCATATATTCTTAATTCTGAATGACACTGCTCTATCAGCAAAATTAAAGAGAGCAAAATAAATGGGATCAGGAAAGAGGCTACCAGTGGGAAAGATGACAGTATCCTCAGCAGTACATTGGGTGCAACCAGGTACAACAGCAACATCCCTGCCTTGGTCTCAAGTATCCCAGGATCTATTTTTCATACCATTCAAAGATGCTGGAAGTTAAAATGAAGCTTTCCTTTATAAGGCTGAACTGCCAGTTTGCATCCTAGTTTTAAGACATACCGTTTCCCCTTTACCCTAGCAAAGAATGAGTGTTATAGTTCAAATAATTTTCAGTCCTTTCCCAAGAACTAATTCTGCAGATTTTATTTGGCTAGGGTTTGCAGTTCTCTATCCCATGATAACAATAAATAACTATGCAGCGCCTCTGCTCATCTCCCACACCAAAAAAGTAAAATTTAGACAAGACACTGCACTCTGGTTTTAAGTAAGCATTCATCCTGTGAAATACAGGACAGGAGAGGGAGAACAAACTACGAGGAATATGCCTATTTCCAAGTAGCAGAGATCCTGAAATTCAAAAGTAGGTCCATTTTAATACATGCCTTATTTTAAAAGTACAAACCAAGGGATCGACTAGTAGTACCAGTCAACTAAATAGCCTAAGACAAAAAGGCTCAGGAAATCTCTATGCTGTAACAATTAAGGCTCTGGAACAGAGCAATTTAGGTCTTGAGGGGAAATATATGGATTAACAATTCTGGAGAAAATGGACCTGATTTAGCATATCAATGCAGGGTAAATGGCTTAAACACAACATTTTAGGTGAACATGAAGTCTACAAAAAGAAATGGCAATCGATTTCCTTCCCCTCCCTCTCAGACCTTTCACACCTAACATCATAAGCTCCAGTCTTTTAGGGCTCCTGAAGGAGAAAAGGTGAATGACAAAAATAGGCTACAACAACCTACCCTCTATTTCCAGTACTGGCACATAAGAGTCTTAATATGTTTTCCCTCCTCATGTGGAGTTACTGTTTCATAAAATAAGTCACACAACAGTTCTGGGTGGCAGACATTTTCAAGGCTGCATTTTCCTTCACTGCCCCTTTGATGCCATACAGAAATATAGGTTATGGAAAATACTGTAGCATGTTTTGTTAGTCAGGCCAGTGACCAGATTATAAATTAATGAGATCAAACCTAACACCTACTTCCCTCCCCAAGCCACAGACAACTGTACAGTAAGTGTAAATAAGATTGCAAAACAGAAAACAAACAAACAAAAAGCCCCTACACATGGACAATACAGATGGCAAAACTAGGCTTTTTATATTTTATCAGAAACAGATTGACATGGTAAAGACTTCAAAAATTCAAAGAGCAAAGCATAAGGATATTTGGCAAAAAATATAGTATGATCTAATTAAAAATATTTTTTTTTGTTAAGGAAAGCACGAATGAAGATAAAGAAATACCTTGGTATCCACTAGTGCTGAAGACCAGTGCCAGGCTCTGCAATGCTTTTCCTATCTTCTGGTATTCCTTGGGTAGTGCTGCAATTCGGAAAGGGATGGGAAAAGAAGGAAACAAAAGCACAAAAACAGAAGAGTAAATGTGACTAAACCTGCAGCATTTCTGGAATTTGATGGAAACAGACATTCAAAAATAAAAGTAAAAACAAAATTAAGAAAGCCCCACACCTAGGTTATTTTCTTCCCTTCTAGTGAGACAGTCACATTCTCACCCTGTCCCCTATAGAAGTTCCCTAACCGGATACAGAAATTGCAGTCTGGCTTCTCAAAAGCCACAGCTGAGGACACTGGGGGTGACTGCTACAGAAGGCTGACTATGCTCCCAGCTAACAGTTCCCCTACACATATAGCGAGTTTTTTTTTTTTTAATCTGTCTATCTGTTTCTTCCCTCCTAGAAAATAAAAGAAATGCTGAAGTGATGTGGAGAAGAGATCTCTAACATTTTAAATATGGAATTAATGTTCAGGCCTGTAATACCTAACTGCTCCTCAAATCATGGATTTTATTTTTAAAGAAAACAGAAACCAAGATTTCTGGGAATAAAAATTGATGAAGTATCTGGATTATATATAGACTCTAAAAATTGAACATACTAGAAGCCTATGTATAAATTGCTTCCTTACAACAAGATCAAAAAGATGTGATTTATGGGTTGATATTCAATTATTAACTATCCTAATAGCATCACCCCAAAGGCCTAAAAAACAATCTGAAAAGTGAAAATACCTTTTATAACCTACGCTCATTAGCATGAGAAAAAAATAAACAGAACAGCTTTTTGTTTTGAAGTGTCTGTATTCAGAGGGTTCACAGTTTGGGTGTAAGAGCACTCTTCAACTCTTGAGTTCCTCTGGCATGACAAGCCAGATGTTTACAGATGCACCTTCATGTGGTGGTGGTAGTGGGGAATCTCACGTCAGTTCTTTGATCTTGTTGGATCTAATACTTGCTCAGAAGTTAGTTTAATACATATATATGTTGTGTCATACATGTATAAAAGACTACTAAAGTCATTGCGCTCGACATGTCCAGGTTTACCTGCTTCCTTTTCTACCCTGTACAAACCCACAGAAGGGCCCAACAATTCGCCAGCACGATCACATCTGATCTGTTGTGTTCACACTGGCTAATAGTTATGAATTACTAGAAGAGTCATTCCACACCCAAAGCACTAATATCATTAATTTATTGAGACTATGTTGTATTTTAGTAGCAAACAAAATACTACATTTCTACCATAAGTTTAAAGGACAGCCTTTCCTATTTTTTTGCGGGGGGTTCACCTCCCTTGCTCTGCATAACTGCACAGCAACACTATTCAGAAAGTTGTTTCTGAGGGATATCGTTCCTTCTCCACCCTCTGCTTCTCCTCAGTATAAATTGCTAGTCAAACGAAAGCTATAGAGAATCAGAGTCCTGCGGAAGAGGAGACTCTTAGGTTAGACCATTTTTGACCTTAACAGCAGAAGTGTCAACGATGTGACGTGGTAAACCCTCCTATTTAAAGGAGATGACATTAACTGATTTCAAAGCACAGCCTACAGACACAAAGGTCTAATGTAGTCACTACCAGAAGAGACTCTGCTCCTCTACTTCCCATTCTGTCTGGTCAGTTCCGTATGTTCAACCGCAATGTGAGATTGAGAAGAGACGAACAGCTAACTGAGGAGCTGTACTTACTCTAAGGCTGGGGACAAAGTATTGCACGGGAGGAGAGAGAGAGATTTGAAGAGATTTGTGTGATAGGTCTTTGGGAGCCAGACACTACAGCCTGCCCTGAAGTGTTTGTTATCAGGATCCTCAGCTGTAGCACCTGCTTCCTTTCAATAGCTGCCTTGTGGTGGCCACAAACACTGAACACTGCTGTGGACTAGGAAATTAGAGCCCAGGCAGAGACATAGAGACCTGGTGTGAAGTTCTGCAACCCTAAATATCTGTTGGAAGGAAGAGACAAGATAAGAGAAAAAGAATTGGGCTAAAGAATAAATTAGATTCAAGTTTCTCTCTCTCTCTTTTTTTTTTTTTTAAATAAAGTCTCATTTCACCTTTAAATCACTCCTCCTGGTATGTAAGGATCCTAAAAAAAGAAGTTAATAAAATGCAACTATTTATAATTTGATGAAGAAGATTACTTTGCCCATGTTAAAGTCTAGGTGAATGACAGGTATTGTCAGAACAAGTCAAGAAAGAATTTTTAGCTGAATGATTAGAACTGGAGCTGGAAGATAAGAAGACAATAGAGAAATCACTGCTAAATCACTTACGCCCTGTACACCGTTTCCAGTGCTCTTGTCCCACTGTCAGAAGCTCTTTAACACCATCATCCATTGCTTTGGTGAATCTACCCACTGCATCACACTTCTGTTCTCTACAGCATTTGGAAAAAGCAAAAACAAAAAAATAGTTTAAACAAACGCATTGGTTTAGCTTAGCTGTAAACACACAACTGAAATATTTTGGAGGGCCAACTATGTTTGGGATTCACAGAAATAAGTGAATTTCATGAAATCTCTACCAACTCCCATGTCAGTGAAACTTCTTCAGATCCAGGCATTTATCTGCTATTTTTCATCTGTTAAGAAATGTGTGAACCAGGACTATCACTCTTACTATAGTGCCTTTCCTTAGAAAAGGCTATTAGCCAAATATCCTGTGATGGAATCATATAATAACAGAATAACCCTGTGCGTGTCTAGAGCACTAAATACATGTAAAAGGATGTCACATTGAGAGAAAAATAGATGTTAGAATAATGGAAGTAATAAAAACTCGTATAAAAATGAATAAATAAATTGTTCCACATATACATTTAAGTCTAAAGTAGGTGAATAAAAGGTAATAGACCAGTTATTCTATGGAAATATATATACATAAATTATACTTTGACAATATCAAAACTTTCGATCAGTATAGCACTGCACGGGCAGTAATGTCAATACTGTTGGTTGATCATTCCCTCTAGGCAGCTTGCACAAAAAGATGCCCATTATTCATATCCACCTTAACAAGTATCCCTTCAAAATTATGAATACATACATGTGTGCACACTTGCTATTTAGTTTTATAATTGTAATTTAGTTTATATTGTCATTAAGGAGGCATACCACCCATGCAAAAAGAAAACACTGTCTTACATTTCTACCATGTCCAAGTCCGGAGCTTCTGGCTCCATTGTAGAAAAGATCAGGACTCCAACAGTCTCATCTTTTTCTGCCTTTCTCTTTCCCATTTTCCACTCCTTGAGGAAAACAAAACAAAACAAAAACTTGACAACTGGTATTCATCCACCTTTAAATACACATATCTAAACAGTGAATGAAGTTTCTAGAACAACTAAGCAAGAGTCTACCCTCAAGCTGAAGCCTTTTAGTTTAAATAGTTTCAGTGGAACTAGAGTTTTAGAGTTGCCCTCCCTTCTTCTCATACAGTTTGTTTTCTAAATCCTGTAATGAACAGAACCTTCTTGTAAATTACTTGTAAAGGTACAAAAAGGCAATGTTATTCAGCTTTGTTTGCACATGTGATAGTGCTGATATTAGAAGCTAGTCCAGAAGATCATGAGACTATTACTCAATAGCCATATTAAATTCTTAGTAGGAATCAAAAAGAAAAGGTTAAAATTCCAGATGTATTGCAACATCAGTTCTGTTTACATCAGCCTGTAAATTAATTAAATCCCATGAACAACTGACTAGCTAGTCCAGTTACACAACTTTGACCATCCAAGTACCTCACTTGGGCTGTAGCTTACTATGCTACTATGCCCTTACTTACAGGCTTACAGAAAATTCAGGAGGTCCAACCACCTGCCCAACAGTGAGATCAAACCAAGGTGCCCAGTCAAATCTTGAAATTCTCCCAGGATTACTTTATTTCTTGAGAAAAATCTGTGTGTATTTATTTAAGAGTATAACCGTGTAATGAAAACAGAGTTTTCTTGTCCTTTTCTCACTACTAGATACCCAAATAGGTAGGACTTCAATCACGGAGAAGACAATATACCAATATATGCAGATGATGAAGATATTAAACTTCTAGAAAATCATCAGGATCAATCCGGAAAGTGATGCATAATAGGAGGAAAATCAAAGAGGGATTGCTATATCAGGTAAGACAACAGCTAGCAAAGCTGTGCCAGAATGCTATAGTATAATAAATCCAACAGGCAAGAATTCTTACAATTGTTCTTTTTTCAGTGGAGGAAAATGGCACACAAAACAGTACTGAAAACAAAATTGCTTTAAAGAGACCCACTTCTGTTATGGTAGCAAATAACATGTCAGAAAAAGTTTGTTTCTCATTTTAATCAATGAGTTAAATCTACTAAACCCATCATTTTGCGGCTCTTCATTACTGCCCACTGGAGGACAGGCAAATCAGCAGACTACGAAACTGAATTGCTACCTGAAAGCAGAGATTGTTTTAGGAAACAATTCCTTGCTGCCCATCTTTTTGTGTGAACACTATTTCCTACCTTTTCATCTCGGAAATTGAGAAACTGCTGGAAAACTTCACTTTCCGAAACAACAGGATGGCGACACATCCTTGTCATCCAAGCTTGCAGCCTCTCCATACGCATTTTGATAAATTCCTCTTCAAAGCGCCCTGTAGTGCATTGAACAAAGATTGAACAAGTTACATTTCCACTTGATCAGCCTCAAGGAGCTGTCTCGTTTATACTTTGTTTAATTAAAACAGAACCTTGGATTTATCTGGTGAGGTATTAAAATCCATATAGAATTTAAATGAAGAAAACATTATCTGAACAAATCAATATACTGTTCTTGAAGGGTTTTCTAATTACTGTAGAGAGAATTGCTCCTTTTAAAGGCAGTCCCTGCAATCTCCACACCCAATCTGGATTAATTGCAGAGGGTGGGGAAGCAAAGAAAAGGAGCAAATTTGGATGAAAAGTGATGTGTTGTTTTCAGAGGAAGAGAAAATCTAGACCCAGGCTCAGAAGGCAGATGTCTTATAGGTACAGTTCACTTGGTCCTTTGGTCAAAAGGATGCGCAGAAAATTCAGAAAAAGGGACTGTCAATATGTCATATCCTAGCTAAAAAAGCATCTAAAACTGTACTCTGCTCAAATACAAACAGTAGATTCAAAGAAAGCAATGTTTCCCGTAAATATATTTCTTTATAGATGAATAATGTCACAAAAATAACAAAAAGCTTGATAAATCATAAGTGTACGCTCAAAAATGGATTTCTTTTGTAATTCAGAGATTTATCACAAAGTGTTTAAAAAAAGGTAACCAAAATAAATATTTCTACCAGTACCATTTTACCATTGTATTCGTAAGAACCTTCTCATTTTAGCACAAACTGGGTCTTCAAGAGAAGAAAGAAGAAATGCACTATGCTGGACTTCCAAGGCGTACAGTGAATAGGATGGGCCTGACAGATGAGAGAATGATTCCTCCAGCACCCCAAGCGTTGCAGTTCCCACAGCAGGGTGGAAGGCAAGCCCTGAACACATGCACTCTCAATATAACCTCACTGGGTAGGTACTATGGCAGCAGTTCACGAAAGAGCCTACTCCCCACTTTTTTTTTTTTTTTTTTTTAAGTGCAAATAGGAAGCTGCCATATTACAACCAATGCAAACTTAAATGTTGGCGTAAACACGCACTCCCTGCAATTTTGCCAGTAAAACAAATACTGCAGAGGAATGAGTATAACCCATACTTGTACCTTGTCCCTTGACCTATACTGAAATTGCAGCAGCAACTGAAAGGCAACAGGAACACTCAGAACTTCTCATCCTTAGGCACATTTGCCACCAGCAAAACTGTGATCCTTTCCTGAGCAAAATCAATCTATTTGCACAGAATCGTGCACTCCCAAGACTTTAGGGTTAAAAGACCTTTCTACACAGTCTTCGGAAAGAAGCCTCCCAAACACAATGAAAGAGACGTGATAACATTTTCAAAGTGAGCTGCTTCTAACATTTCAAAAAGAGAGAAAGGGAAGAGGGAAAAAAAAAAAAAAAGAAAAAGAAAAAAAAAGGGCAAGCTTGCAAGTTTGTTTGTTTTTTTTGGCATGAGACTAACAAATCAGCTTCTCCCATAGCCCCCGAAACACAGAAATCCACAAGCAAGGTTTAATTAAGATGTCAAACTCACTCTTTTATGATACAGCTACAATGAAACTTGCAGACCCTCCTGGGTCTTCCGATTACGTTTTCGTTTTGCATGCACACATTTAAGTAAAAATACTGGTGAATTCTAACTATGAGGCTAGCTAAAAGGAGGAAGTCACTTCCTCACTTTTCAGTTTCCTCGGCATTTATCCCAGCATTTGCATCAATGCTTAGCTTTCTTCAAACACAGCAGAGCTGCTGCATTTTTAGTGATGCCCACAGACACACGGTTGGCTACACGCCAGCTTTTGTGCATTTTTTGACTAGTTTTCTTAAACGCTGTGTAAAAAAAATCTTATCAGAAAACACACAAGTGGAGATAGGCTGAAGTAATGCATTTTCCTCCCACCCGGGTATCCAATCTTCTCTGCACACACACACACAAAAGCATATTCTTGTGAAAGGGGAGCCACAGACCACTGAAAAAGCATATATATTCCCAGATATTCAATGCAATGACTGAACTCATGAATGTTGAGGAGTTCAATCCCACTCTCCCATTCAGAGAGTTTGATTAAGCTGAACTAACATCAAATGCGGCAGGAAATTATACCAATGAAAGATGCTTTTTAACCAAGTATCAGGAAAAACAGCTGCAACCTTTTTGTCACAAGGAAAACAAAAACATTTGCCAGGGACTAGGATCCTCCCTTTCTTCTAGAAAATACAAAAGAAATAAAACCAGTTCACCAGACCATCAGCAAACACTGAGCAAAAACAAACATCTCTCCAATAATGAATATATTTTTCTCTTAATCACTGGATTTTTCTTAATCACTGTTTTTTTTCAGTCACTGGATTAGAGGACTAAACTCAAGTTCTGAAATGTGTTCCTAGTGGCAATGCTATGTGATAACAGACCTCAACCTATGAGGTCAGACCTCATCAATTCCAAATCTTCAAATGAAGATTCTTGTACAACTCCTCTAAACATAAACTATGCACAAAAGGGATCTCTATTTCCCATCCCATGAATTCACGGCTGGGAACACTTACCTGTTACTTGCTTGTCTGGAAGAGATGGGATTGGAATGGCTAACCCAAATTTAACCAGGAGACGCTCATATAACCAATCAAAGTGCTTGTATCGGTGGTTGACAGACCGATTAGTGTTCTGTAAAAGAAGTACAACTCTGAATTTTGACAGGCATCACCTACGGATAAGTGATCTGAAGTAAGGGTGTCCAAAATAGCAAACTTGGCATTACAAGTTACAGTTTGTAGAGTACAAACTTGTACTCTACATAGTAACTATTAGTCACCTTCTATAATGACAGAAGGATTAGAAATGGGAAAGAAAACAAACCCTAGCTCTTCGGAGAAAAAAAAAAAAAAAAAAAAGTGACAGCTATCATTTACTGCTACAACCTAATTATAAATAATATAGCTTGTGTAAATTGCTATGTACAGGTAACCTTTGTATCTACAAGACAAAATACACTTACAGTGCAGGTCAGCTGATACTCAATGTAGCTCTTGAGACCATACATTTTGGAACCTTTTTTGGGATCTGCCACCACACAGTCAAACGTAGAGGTAGGATAAACCCACATCGGGCCATAATCACCAATCTGTCAAGAATTGCAAATATTATTATTATAAATACATTATGCTATACCAGGTGCAAACAAGAAGACAAACATTTATCTGAAAGAAGCCTATTTTGAAAACTGAGATCCTATCTCCCTCCACTAGTAAATTTCTATTGATTTCAGTAAGAGTTTGAGACTCAGGAAATGTTACCAGGTCTCTCTTTAGGATCTACTCCTACCCAGGTTTCTCCTGTAAGGATACTGGAGCAGTGGACTGTTGGGAAGCAGACACTCCTGCAGATTGCTACTCACCAACTTTCACTAGAAGAGCAACTGTCTAGAACAGCCTGTTAGCAAGATCAGAAAGTGACCTGATGCTGTAGACTTTTATGAATACAGTTCCTCTGACAAGGTAACTATCAAGAAAGCTGCTAGACAGCACATGCATCCGCCCTGCCCTCCCTCCCAGTAAGGCTCATTTTCATGACCACAAACAAGGTAGATCATCTGCCCAACTTGAAAAAATTAGTATCAAAAAGAAGAAAACAAAACAAAGATCCCCAGCACGCTTGGAACAAGCAAGGAGACTTGACCCTGAAAAATCTCTCAGTGGTACAGGATTCAGAAACATGGTCTACCATGACTTAAAAGGTTTAAATGGCATACAGTTTTCTTAGGATAGTTCTGTTTTTACCTGTATGTTCCATACCAATTTACCATTTTCTTCGGATCCAGATGCATGTAAAAGACCCTGAGGCTAAAAGTTAGGGTGGGGAAAAGGCAAGGAGTGGGGGAAACAGCAACAAACAAAACCACATACATGCACTTACTATTATGGGAATTTTCTCTTTGGGTTTTGCTAGCTGCTTTGCCAACAGATACTGTTCCATTCCAGGTTTTGCAAATCCAGGAAATCTAATATATATAAAGGAAAAAAAAAAGAAAAAAAAAGGCAAAAAACAAGCAATTTAGTCTTCATTCCCCCTCCCTATGCAGAATCCCCAGCTACTTTAAGTAAACATATCTTAGCATTTTTCAAATACATAGAAGAATTATCCTATGTGAAATCTGTGCTAAGAGTGGATTTAGAAGTAGGGATTTGCCTCTCCAAAAAAGGCAGAAGAGTTTAAGCTACTAACCTCCAGCTTGTATTTGTGCAATACAGGCATACAGGTTCCTTACAGTGCACAACAGCTATTTGTGCTTGCAACCCACCAGAAGAAACATGACAACAGGACATGGAGCAGTATCTGCTACTCCAATGCCCACTCCCTGCATACACACACTCCTGCCTCCCTATTTCAGATGAGAATTCAATCATCTGAGAGAACAATGGATTCTTTAGGTGCTTCTAAACATGAATCAGGATAAATAATTTATCAATTAAAAATTAAATTAAATTTATTGAAAAAAAAAAAGGTGACAGAAACACTGTAATGTCCTGTAAGTCCGCAGAGAAGGGCTTGCAGAAAACAGAAAGTGGTTTTCTTTCTACTTAGGATATTTAGCCCTCAGTATACTGCCAGTCTTACAAAAATACTGGAAGTTAAGTAGGGTTTGTGAAGAATTATGCTCCTGAATGAGGTATGTTTATGCCAGCCATACTATACAGATTTGCAACAAGCAGACGGCACAGTGATGCAGCAGCAGTACTGCAAAACAGGACAAAACTTCCACAGATGAGTAAAGTCTGTCCCTGCATGACAAGGCCATAAGTTCAGTTACAACCTAAGGAGACAGTTTTTCTACTATCATTTTCTGTTCTTTCACTTAAAATCATTACTACATGGTAGTTTCTCAGACTAATAATAGATGTGCAACAGAAAAAATCTTAAGTTATGGAACAATATTAGCACAACCCAGACAAAGCTTCATCCTGGTGTAAGTTGCACCTGATAGCAAAACTGTTTCCTATTTCTAGCAGCTCAAATTGGCAGTGAAATCTGGGGTAGCTTTGGTATATGGCAAACCATCCATCACCCATCATTTCACTAAGCACACAGAGTGCTAAAGGTAACTACATTTTAAACAATAGGACCAGAAGTTCAGCCCCTATAAAAATCTGGGGTAGCTTTGGTATATGGCAAATCATCCATCACACATCATTTCACTAAGCACACGGAGTGCTAAAGGTAACTACATTTTAAGTTCAGAAGTTCAGCCCCTATAAACACATCATTTGACTGTGTGTTAAGCCTCCAAGAATATCCAGTTATGTCACATACTCCAGGCCTTTCATGGACTTATCTTCTCTGATCACTTAGAGACAATGCTGAACTATAAACTCATCTCCATTTGCACCCCAAACCTGTAATATTTCCATTGCATATTTCAGGTAGGCTGAATGGGAACACACTTCCACAACTCAAACTCCAATTCTCCTCAGTGCATACACATTTGTCCTGCATTACTTGTTAAGTGGCAACTTCATAGCAGCTGCACGAGAATTGGCTCGCTGGGGCCCTCCACCCTCTGTCGACTCAGTCTCCTTGTAACCAAGATAAGACGGTGAGGTTGATTTTGGGTCATCCCAGTCATCATCCCAATCATCGTCATCAGCAGCTGCTGGAAAAAAAAAAGTGAAAAAAAAAGTTCAATGTTTTCTCTTAATAACAAAGAGGAAGCAACCACCTCAGCCACAAAACATCAACAAGATGAAGATACTACATGCTAGTTCAGTCTTGCATTTTTTGATTCTTTAGTTATTCCCTCTCCTGGCCTCCTAAAATACAGCTTACATCAGAAATCCACCAAGGAGGAAAAATACTGGTGTGTTAAAATGAACTCAATGATGCTCCACATGCATGCAGTCCACGTTAGCATTCACCAGTTCTCCTCACTTAGCCCTATACCACAAAACAGCAAGGAAAACTTCCAAAAGGCAAGGTAGGCCTTTGGATTCAGGGATTAGAGACCACCTCCACAGAGGCCTGGGGGCACAAATTTAAGGGTGCACATTTCCAGAGCTGTCAAGCCCGTTGAACATGCCTGGGAATTGGTTAATGCACGAGACTGATGCGCAAAATCTCCACACAGGTTTGAGGTGTGTATTATTGTAGATCACCTTTCGGTTTTATAAAGCCTATTATCTAGTTAAGAAGGGTTAGGCAGTTCCCACATCTATTGCTCACCTGTTCCAATTGATTCAGAAATGAAAAGATTAGCCCACCTGGTCCTTGATAGGCCTGTGGATGGCCAAATGCTGCTGCTGCTTCCCAGTTATTTGAAGTGCTGTGCCTCTGCCCCGCCGCGCTTTCAGGCTTCGTCGCCCAGCTATCGCCAGCGTTTCCATTATCCCAGTTCCCAGACTTCCCAGCATTCCAGCTTGACCATGGATCGCTGGCATTGTTTACCTACATTACAGGAGACAAGAATTAAGAAAGTGCTGATTAAAAAAAAAAAGGCGTGAATTATCTACTTTCTTCTCCGAGCCTTTGCTCCTCTGTTAAGAGGCTGTGAGTGCTTTCAGCACTTGGCTGGTTTGGTTTAGGAGCAGCAGCTTGATCTCAAGCTCCCAGCTACACAGCTCTTGCAAACGCAGTAAGCACCTCCAAGGCCTGACTAGCTTTCCCGTAATGTGACACCAGCAATAGTGGCCCATCTCCCTAGGGAAATCAAATTCTACGCTCCAACTATGTTGCAAAGCACTCGTACCTACAGCAATTACTTAACAGTAACACCAGAAGCCTGTGCATATGGTGCATGTGGACCACCACACACACCAAACCACAGGCTCATTGGCACAGACAGACCCCAAGGACTTCATTGAACTCTATTTCACCAAAGTCAGAGCAGCGGCTTCATGAGAAGTGCCCACACCGTGGGTGCCGGTGCAACGGCTCAGGAGCTGGGCCAGCGGCCTGTCCCTTGCCAGGGGTCACCCATTCACAGCAGGGACAAGGGAGGGAAGGAAGGAAGCAGCTCCCTGCAAAGCTGCTCCCTCACATAGGCTTGTGACAAAGGGAATCACGTTCGCCCTTCTGCTGACGCTGCTGCGGAGGCGAGAGGCTCAGGGAAGGGGGAACAGAAAGAACCTCTCTCACTGCTGCATCCATTTGTCAACATTCACCTGTCAGTGCGTGGGATTAATAGCTCAGTATCCTGCCTCGCTCTCTTCGCTTTTAACACTACACTTCGAAAAAGCATTGACTAGTTAAGGGTGCTCCGCTCCAGACACTTTTGGCACAGAAACCAGCTGGCAGTAAGGAAAAAACAACAAATCAAAGCCCACAAGGAACAGGAAAAGGTAAGCAGGAAAAGGAGCAGGAAAGCTCATCCTGTTCAGCAAAGGGAAAAAGTTTTGCAAAAAGAAAAATCCCTAGGACCCACAGATGCCAGTGCACTTTGCTGATCATACAGTGGCATCTCAAAAAAGAAAAAATTAATAGTAATTAATTGCTATTAGATGATAACATTTCCATGTAACAGAGCATTTGCTAAAACAGAAGATTTAAAAAACTCACTGAAATCCAAGTTATCCTTCTCAAACACTGCAAAGGAGGAGAATGATTGTTTCTGCAATAACACACACAGTGAGTTCTATCCCCCTCCCCACCTCAAATTCTCCAACTCTTATTTCAGCTTACAGACAAATCTATTTCTCTACAAGATCAGAGTAAGATCTGGTTCACTATGTGGATCTGAAGCATTGTCTTGTAAGCAAAAGGAGTTAAAAAAAAAGAAAATACTTTGTGAAACAAGTGTGTGTTCAGAAGGTAAACATTACAAGTGTTTTCTGGCATGCAACACATTTAAAAGACAAAAACCCAACCACTTTCACAGATGTTTTACAGGTGTCTCAGGGACCTGATGGAGAAAGAGGGACTGTGCGGAACAGCTTCTAGAGAGGTTTGTTGTTTTTTTTGAGGATAATAATCTGATCTGAGAAGAATGCTCTCTTGGGTAAGTAAAATGCTGAGGTCTACTTAACTCTTGGACAGCTGACACTGGACTAACTCTTTTGCAGATGTTACCAGTAGCTTACAGGGCAGTCGTCTGTTCCTCCTAAGATGTTTGCCTATTAAGAGATTATATAGGGAGGAAACGTCACACATGCCCCAGCTTAATATCTTTGCTAAAGGAAAATGCACACACGTTGGAAAGAACGTGTCTAGCTTAACTTAGAGCACCTAGAAAATAAGAGTTTGCATGTACATTCGTTTGCATGTACTTCTGCAATGCGTGTTGTGCTGATGACTGGCAAATGGAAGTCCCAACGTGGGTGATTGCCAGAAGGCTGAGTAAAGTTTTCCTCTCCGCTGCAGTTCACGTGAAACCTGGTACATGAGTGGGAGGCAAAGAAGGCTTAAAATCTACTGCAAAACAACGCGTAAGCAATAATATTAATATTGGGTGCACTATTAAAGAGAGTGACTGTCAAGAGAGATCACCTCAAAACCTCAAGACAGCTGCCAATACACATGCTGTACAGCAAGGGGAAGAGAATCATTTGAACGTCCTTTGCAATTACTCCATCCTTCATCAAAAGTTTTCCTACATACATACAGACTGTGAGCAAAGGGAAGACAAAAATCACTATTTTTTCACCCTTCCCCCCTTCCTGAACCCTGAGAGGGAACCCACCCTCAAGGTCCCACAACACTATGGAGGCCCAGCAGAGCCGCGGCAGTTGTCAGAAGAGCAACCTCAGCCCATTCAGCAGCTCTGCAGGTCTCAGCAGCTGGCAAATCCCACAAAGCCACTATTCCTGTGGTTGCACTGTGCTCTGGCTGGTTGAAGGAATCCTAATTAAACTGGTAAGTACTTTGCAAGTGATCACTGCATTCAGCGCACAAAGACGCAGCTCCCTTCAAAAATGTCTTCAGTCCATATACCTTGACAATGCACACCTAACACCCAAGTGTGCAGCACAATCCTCAAATATAAATCCACAGGGAAATGCCGTACCATGCCTACTTAAGCAACGTGTGAATGAAAGGCTGTGCCCCTTCCCTCCTTGAGCATGAACACAAGTAACACCTCAGGCTGTTTTGGCCTTGCTCACTCCTGCTGTTCCAGGAGGAAAAAAAGGGCTCTTAGGGGATAAGGAAGAAGAGGGAGCACTTCACTAAATATTTTAATATGCTTCCATTAAGGGCAGAGAACATGCAAGTTCAGCATGTTTTTTTAAGACTTAATTATAGTTGAATAAGGAGGAAAAACAACATGAAAATCTTCAACTTGGAGATGTAAGGTCAATATCTTCAGCAAATGAATCGCAAGTGAACAGGGAAGAAGTGTCATCTTAATGATGTTCAAAAAGCACAGCACCAAGAACCCAAACGAGTCGTGTTTTGCCTCCTTGCAAGCCCAGTCCACCCACTGGGCACTCCTTGCTTTTCACCAGAAAAAAAAACAGTGGAAGAACCATTAAGAGCAGAATAATTATGGTTTTCTGTTCTTTTTCCAGATTCATTCCTGTTTCTTTACTTCCTTACCTGTGAGGCAAGGAAGTATTTCCTCACAGTCTAAGTGGGTTAGAGCCTGCATTGCATCAGCACAGAATTTCCATCTATTGATCCCTCATTCAACTCAAAAAAAAAGTTACGTTCCACCTTTATGCTTTCTTTGGGGGAGAAGCACCATCTCTTTCTGTTGTATAACAGACTACAGGGCTTTTCCTTTTTGCCCTTGGAGGAGGAGCCAAAGACGACAACCATCAAGGCTTTTCAGATTGTAAGTCCAAATGACAAATGTCAAAGCTCACTGCTTAAAGTAAGAAGTGCTCAGTGAACAAAAAAAAAAGATAAAATTTTATGCAGAAGATAAAAGAATATACAGCACTAAATCTCCTGCTGTGGGGCAGGGGGAAGACAGTGCAGCATATGAATGCCACGTGTCTCAGGTCACTGTAAGCATGTGTGCAAGCAAACATGCTCATACAAGGGCTGACAAGACTGTCACCATCTCCAAATCAAAATATTCCGGTAATAACTGGTCAATGGTGAGCTGCTAGACCAGGGTACAACTTGCAAAATATGAAGGCACATGAAAACAAAAGAAAAAAGATAAAAAGCATGCAAATACTGTAATTGCAAATCGCGCTTTTAGAAATAGTCAGAATAGCCTGAGGCTATGAGAACATTATGAAGAGTTGAACAGTTCTGCAGTTGAACAGCTTGCTGCTTGTCTCTTGCATTTTCGCAATTCCATTACAGGCTACAAACATAATTTTATGTAATTGTGTTTTAATAAATATGTAAATGCAACGCATCTCTAAGCACATAATCCTCCATTACCAGTATTTTACAGCACTGATTGCCTGGAATTCTTGTTAAACATGAGCGGCCACAAATTCCTTTTGGAGGTCTGAGTGCAGTTTTGTGACTTAGATGCGAGGGGACAAGAGCTGCCTTCACGATATACTTAACAGTGGAGGATGTTATTTTGTCATCAGCTCTAATGAGAACTGGAAATTACTAATCATGAAAGCAGCAACCCAGAATAAAACCCTTCAGGTATTTTTGTGACTTCTGAAAACATTTCACCCACAACTAGTTTTGCTTGTACTTCCATTTAGACAGCTTTTATGACATGCCTATAAAGATTACTTATGCCCATACAGAGTATACTTTACATTTATTTCTATAATATTTAATTACCCATGCTTACAAACATGCATATTTATGCAGAATTATGGAAGCAATAATTTAAATCCATAAACACTTTCAATTATTGCAATTTCCCTGGAGGACCTACTTGCATATATTTTCTGGTAAGGTTTTTTAGCATACTAGTTCAACAGGACAGACTAGACCCAACCAAACACAACCGAGTCACACATGTCCCATGAGAATTCTGCTACCTCACTCCAGTGACACAGAGATGACAAAAAACAGGAACACTGCTTCAGGACTACAGGGATCGGTGCAAGTCTGAACCTTCACGCAAGTGGAATACTGTATTATTGCACATTTGTATTACAACGACTATATTTGTTTTCTTCAGTCTTAGCATTTATTGCTGTTCATAATATATTCAAGAAGCATGGGTGAGCCCAGGTATACAAATTAAACAGCTATTATTTGTCTTCTAGACATTAAGCTATGACTAGCAGAGGGAAATGAAGGAAAGCTCTGGGAATTAACAGTTTTCTTAGTGCTTTCCTTGTGCATGTTTGGCACTACATCTACACACCAGGTCACTAACCTCAAGTTGTCTCTGTTCCTGCACACAAACTAGGAGTTTTCGCTAGTCCCAGCCTTGTGAAGAGAAAGGATTTTCCATACCTATGATGTTCTTGTTTCTTTATATTCTGTTCAACAATTATGCATTGGCTTTCCTTCTTTCACTGGGAAAGTATCTTGAATGATTTCAGTCTAAAATTAGTGGCCTGCATGGCCATGCAAAGGCCTGACAGCAGAAAGATTTCCCGCTCCCTTCAGTCGCTTTCTCCAAGGCTGCAGGTTCAGAACTGCCCAGCTCTACTGTGTGGCCAGGGCTACGGCTCCTGCCTTTGTCAGCTAAGGGATGTCTTAGTTATTATTATTTTTGGACTAATATTTTTTAAAAGATCAGATGCTCCACCAGCCCATAACACTTGTGATTTAACATCACATTCTCCTATCTGTTCTTCGTCTTCTCTATTTCAAGTGTAAAAGAAGTCACACAAACAAGGGAAAAACAGACTAAACCGTAGTTAGCTTCATTACCTCCCCTGCTTGCCTTGATCCCCCAAGAGGTAGCTCTGAAATCCCCAGCTCCTGCTGCCTGTGCTGGCAGGAGCAGTTGACAGCTTTGCCAAACCGATTGCCGGGACACAGCTTGGAGAAGGAAGCGAGGAAAGAGGAAGGGTGAGCTCCTCAAGGGTCACGCCGAGCGCTTCCTTTCGCACAGGCAGCGCGTTTCTGCCCCCTGGGTTTTGCCACTTGACGTCTGTGGCGAAGCCGGGCCTGGCGCACGGCCAGCAGCCTCGCGGCGGCCGCCGGATGCTTCTCAGTGAGGAAAAGGAAGCAAGAGCTGTAGGTTGCTGCTTATTGGGTTTTGTTTTGATTTGCAGGAGATGATTTACTAAACAACCACAACAGACACCTCCTTATGAAAAGACAGAAAGGCGTGGGACAGTGATTTAGCTGATGATCCTTCCATGACACCAAAATTCAATCAATCATTCCAGGGCTGTAGAGTGGGAGGCCAAAGCCCTCGAGTGGGCCTGGAAAACACAAAAGTTGGGAGGCAGGTAGCTGGAAGAGGTAAGTTCAACTTTCAGAGAGAGAAGCACCCACAGGCACTGATCTGGGAAACCCGTGGTGATTTAGGGCCATGTACTGCGAGCGACCTTGCTGCTCAGTAAACATCATTCTCCCTCCAGATCCCTCAGACCATGTGGAGCAAGTCAAGCACCTGCAACTGTGCATCTGAGTAAGTGTAAAGTGCCTGCCTTGACATTTATGGGTCACTGTGAGTTAACAGAACCAAATGCAAATACATCTAGGCACAAGGAACACAGGCTGCAAAGCAGAAGACTGTATTTGTATAAGCAGCTGTATATTCCTGTAAGCAGCTGCTCTAATGAGAGGCTCTTACTTGCAGGGGACTAGCAGCTCGCTACGACCTCTCAAAACTGACACAGTCCTCCAGGGTAGTGGTTTTCTGTACATCAGAACAGGAGCATTTAACCTCTGCACTTGGCACCCTAAGAGGTATACAGGAGCGATCTATACAACTCTGACACCTCTGTTTTACAAGCAAGTCACAATAAAGCTTAGTTGAGAACAAGAAAAATGTCTTGCATAAAGAAAGCAAATGGGCTGAGGTGTTTTTTGTTGTTGTTCAAATCAAGAGGATGACCAACCACAGCGTTTTTGCAAGGAGATTATATGCTGCACTAGAGAACTCTGACCCGGTGGAGAAAGGCACAGGGAGAGCTAGAAGCTGAACCCAGGCTACACAACATACAAAGTTAGTCACAAATTCCTACTGGGAACAAGCAACAAGATAAAGATCAGAAGCTGAAGAAACCAGTCTCCAAAACAAGATCTGCTGCTTTTCTAGAAAATATATAACCAAACAGCAGTTACTGGCTCAACTACAGGGCAACTGGGGAAAACATAAGTCACTTGAGACAAAGTCCTGGCCAGTTCCTGGTACGGGGGAACAGGGGGAACACACTCACCAGCCCGCAGCAATTTTTATTAGTTCCCCTCAGATTTTGCACAGGCTTAGCCTCATCCAGGTGCTTCTCTTTCACCCCACTTCTCTTTCTCATACTCATATTAGCAGTACTCATATTAGCAGTAAGAATAAGGAACCGATACAGAAGATTTAAGTTTTTTACCTGAAGTTACTGCATTCCAACATTTCTTGCAAAGAACCCACAAACTGTGTATTTTGGCACAAACTGTGGCAATATACTGCTGATCCTTACAATAATATTATCTGGCATAAATAGTAGTAAGTGTCCATATTTTACATTTTTCCAGCCTTCCTCCCGCCAGAAGTACACCTTTCCTACATAAATTAATATAGTAATGCTCTATTATTTATAACAGAATAGATACATTTATTTTAATTTTCCTCCCATGCAGGCAAGAGGGCTGCCCTCTTCTAGGCATATGAGCACCTTGTGTTAAGCACTGACAAAGCTCTGATAGAAACCTCTGTTACTGCTGAAAGTACTCTGTAATACTTTGTATTTTGCTGCAGGTAATTCCTCCTGGGTTAAATTATACTTTTCCTATTTCTTCATAAAGAGAACAATATTCAGAATTCAGATTCAAAGTAAATGCTGCAACTATTTCAAGCTTCCTCAGCCACAAAGTTCTCCTAAAAAAACTCCACTGAAGGAAACAAAATTGGAGCAGGGTTCTCCACTGAAGGAAACAAAATTGGAGCAGGGTTAACAGACAAAGCAGAAGCAGCAAAGTTTCTACTCTGCCTGCAAAATTTTTAGGAATTTTAGAGTTAGATTGAACTTAAGTAGAATGAAAAAGTCAATGCTTTTGGATCTCAAACCCAAGAGGTAGTTCAAAAGCTCTGTGTTTACCCCAAATATTCCATTCGGCCTTAATTTAATACATATATGTATGCGTGTGCGTATATGCATATATATATATTTATATAAACACCCATACATATTTATATATTTACACACACACACATATATATGTATACATGTGTCTATATAAAAATAATTATATATACACACGCATATATATAAACACACACACATATACACACATATACACATTTTGTTGATAACAATGAAACAGTCACAGTGAGGCCAGAGCTCTGAACAGGCACAGACAGAGCATTCAGGAGCCAAAGAAAAGATGCATTAATATCATGCCTTGGCCTGGAGCACGATGAAGCACTTACAGGCACCGCAGGGAACTTGCCCCCACTTCACTCTCTCAAACTTCTCTATTATATGGCAGCAACGATGCAAACTATACGTGACCACTGAAGTAAAGCTAGAGCCTTTTAGTTTGAAGTCAGGCAATCTCGAGTAACAACTGGTAGCAGAATACAAGCACAAACCAAACATCACATCGTAAAAGAACTGCTGCACCCACTCTCATACAAAAATATACATATATAGTTCAAGAGTGATCTTGGTCCATCTTAAAGTCCTGCAATGCAAATTACAGTCAAGAATACTAGCACCTGATTTTTAAGTGCTCCACAGAGTACGAGTGAATCTCCAGCTGCTATGATGAGTAAAGAATTTACTTTTCAACATGCAAGACCTCTACACGTGCTGTTGGAAAAGGCAAGTTTTGCTCTTCTGTTAACCTCTAGTCATTGAAGCATTTAAGTGTTGCTGCATGTGGGATATGCTGCAGTCTGAAGACCATGACAAACAACTCACATTTAAGTTAACATATGTCCTCCTATACCTAACTTGACACTGTTTATTTAAAAATAGATACTTATAAGCTGACACACTGGACAAAGCTATTAAAGAAAGAAAGAGAAAGGAATGAAGACAAAACCAATCCAACACATCCTTTCCGCAAAACCAAAGTCAACTACTTCTTCAACTGACCAGAGACCATGCAGGAACTTGTTTCATCACCCACTGTGCCCAAAAACCCTGCAGACATACCTGATTGCTGCTCTTAGCAGCCGAGTTGGTCTGAGCTGTATTTGAAGAGAGGGAATCAAAAAAGGCTTGGTCAGCTAATGAGTTACCACAAGTAATTCCATCTTTTGCACCTTCATTTATAATCTGAAATAGAAAAAGTTGTAAAACATTTGCCATACTTCCATTAACCAAAATGTACTGATTATCTTGCATGATCATCCTAACATGCTTGTCATGAGACATTAAGATTCTATAACAATTCTGTATTCAGTCACTGAGTGTCATTTTTGAACTCAAATTCAATTGTACCTTTTAGTAGAAGTTGTGAAGATAAATCCTCCACATTACCCCACAACAGATGAAACAGCTTTACATTACCACAGTGTAACATGGAAAACCCATGGCAGTGAACACCCATCCATAAATTTACCAAGAATTAACAAGGGTGTTAAGATAACTGCTTGGGAACCGAGAGGATCCATTTGAGACACGCAAAAAGCTACCAGACCATGAGCTCACACTAAATGAAGGAGGGAAAAGTAAAAGGAAAAGAGGGGGAAAAAATAAACAAAAAACAAACAGAAATGGAGAAGGAGAGAAAAAGCCTGAAGATGAGACTGCAGGAATCACATCCTTGACCTAGCTGCCAGCCTGCAGACTTACCAGTAGTGGGCCCCCCAAGAAAGAATGAATTAGAGTTCAAGAACCACAGCCAGCAAGGCACTTCTACTCGCTCACCTAGGAACACCAGTCATTAAACAAACCAGCATGCTCACACACAGGAGCCAGCCCTTGCCCCCAGGAGCAAGATGGGGACGGAATGCTGTATCCCAAAACCCAGAACTGGCGTTCTGCTCCAGAGATCTATAAACATGTGGCAAGTCAGCCGCGGCAACATCATGAGTGCAGTTTTATGAAACATTTCATTTTCACATCTGTATCCTCAAACAAGAAAGCAAATCAGGTACCAGATTGTGAGAGACCCAAAGCCAGAAGGAAATTCAGAGTAGCCAACACTCACAGCTAACAGATTACCTGTATTTATGACAGCCAAGTTCCCTTTGCATTTCCTGAGAGCCCACTAAGAAGTACAGTAGCTTTGAATGAGATGTCAGCACTGACCTCCAAAATCACCTACAGTTGCTTCCATGAGATTAAGGACTCTGAGCTTTAATATCGTGCAAGTTTTACGTCTGAGCCATAAAGGCTGAACAGCAAATCAAAGGATGGCCTTTTCAGTAGTTCTGCTTTCTTAGAGCTTAACACAGTGCAGTCACTTACTTCAACATAATCTGTGGGAACAAGTCCCCTCTCTCCTTGGCTGTTTTTTCCTTCTAACCAGCCTCCACCAACATCCTAAAAGAAAGGAGAAAGAGAGAAAAAAAACAACAATGAAGCAGTCATGCTTTAAACAATGCTGCAGGAAGCACTGTGTTGGTTCAAATGCAAACTGCAATGCTTGAAAGAGTGATGACTGTATGACCACGAACAAATTAACTTAAAATCTGCTGAAGAACCAGATACTCATTTAAACATAAATTATTGACCAACACATGTTTCACATGGCTACTGTGGACTTTAGTTTTAACAAACACGAGAAAGAAGCTTGAATTTGAAAGCACTTCTGATCGTTTATTATGTAACCACATGTTCTTCGGGTACAGACTGTGTCAAAATATGCAATGCTTAGTGTCATGTTTCTAAAGGACTCCTTTGACAAGCAAAGAAAGACAACTCAAGTCTTCTCAAGTAACTGATCAGGACTATGGCTGATTATGCTCTTTAAAGACTTAAATTCTAGAGACTAAATTAATTGCTTAATATTTCCATTCAACCAGGTTAAATAAACTAAAAAAAAAAATCCTCTATGCCAGATTATTTAGACTGTTTGTTCACATGAAAATCTGAGCCATACCACTAAAGACAATTCAAAAGTTCAATAAACGAACTCTCCTGTTACTAGTATAAGAAGGTTACAAGAGAATAAAAGTACATCCATCAAAAATTAACATGTCAAATGTCTGTGTTCAAGAGTACTATTAATTTTAAAATTCCTTGACAGCCTTATCTTAAATATTTTCCCCACTCCTCCCCTGCATCTTGTACATACTGCTTTAATTGTGAAAGGACCACAGATTTAGCAACAGATGTTGTGGTAAATTCTCCGAACATACCAGTCTCTTGGCATGCTGAAGTCATTATTGAAAGAAAAAAAAAATCAGAAAACTTTGAAGTAAGTCATTGTCAGAATTATCATTAAATGTAATGGGCAAGTATGCAAAAGGCTGCATGCCCCCCCAAACGGCAGGCCACTAATCAAGAAAAAAAAGCCCATTTAGAGAGGGCAAAAGGCTGAGCAGAGAACTCCAAGCGTGCAGGCCCACACCAAGAGGGCTGCGTGGGATGCCCTGGCCCCCAGCATTGTGCTCCTCACCTTCACTGCCACAACATCACTACCAAACCCTACACATTAACCTCTTGGCTGCTTCGGCAGGGGGGAAGGCAGCCGGCACTTTGTCCCACGTCACCCAACAGCGCTTCTCTTTGGGGACGCTGCCCCAGAGCCTGGCGTCCCGCCGCTTCGCTTACCGGGTTGGTAATGACGATGATCTCCCCTTCACTGACGGTCAGTTCGTTGTTTCCGGGCTCGGCAGCAAAATCATACATAACACGAGCCTACACGTGGGGGAAAACAAACAAATCCCAGTAAGCTTTCCATCCTATTAAGCAGCTTGCACAGAGCAACTATCAGAATCACATACATTCTTAAATAGGAGAACTAAATACTAAGTATGGGAAAGGCTAACGTACACAGAGCAATAAAATACGTGGGAAGCTAGCTTTTTCCAAACTGGAACTCCAAACCCACCACTAATGCAAATTTTACAAGAGGAAAGAACTCCAGCAGAGCTTGTTAGAAATGACCAACATTTTCCAAGAGGATTCACAGTTTATGACCGCCAGTTCTCTGCAGGGCCCAGGACAATCTGTATAAATTTTTCCAGGAGGAGAAGGAAATGCTTTTAGCTTTAGCAAACAATCTGATTAATACACTCTTCTGCAAGACATGTTCCAAATTCAATTGGGGTAAAGGAGCATTTCATAAAGCAAGCATTTCAGCAAAGGAAATCAAAAGTTACTGTAGATCTAAGTAACCGCTGCTGAATTTGGAAACATTTTGAGACTTTGTTTGCATACAGGATGAACTATGCAAATACCAGCAAATAGTGAGAAAAGAAGTGTTACATACTGGGGACAAGAGCAAAAAAAAAAAGGAAAGGAGAGGACACCATAACAAAAACAACCTAACTTAAGGGTTTAGGTACAATGGCTTTATTAGGTACTGCCTACTGCGATGCTAACTCCAAAAAAAAAGTTATGGTTGAGGCACTGACAAAGTTGTCTAGCATTTAAGCAACAGCTCCACTTCTTCACATAAGGAATTGTAGCATAGTACAAAGCCCTATTCCCCATCATCTTTTTGTAGTCTTCTATTAAATTCCCTCATATATCTAAAAGCAGAGAAGGCTCTCCAGGAATATAAGTAGCTACGTTTTATTTTCCTTATAGACTGTTAAAACGGACACAGAAGAGAATATGTTAAAAAAAAAAAAAAAAAAAGAGCATATATTCTGCCTTATAATCTCAAAGGAAAGTCTAGAACCAAGGTTTTAGCCTTCCATTTAGACTGGCATAGTAAAATTTTAAACCTGAGAGCCAAATAGATAGCTAGGTATCCTTTGCCTGCGCCTCCTCTTCATTGGCCTACTAGAACATGTAAATAATATATATTATTTACACCCTCAAGTTTTCAACATAGCTGCTTGCTCCAGAAGCAATTAGCAGATGATTTTGTTTGATAGATGCCAGTGCAGAAGTATCCGAGGGCTGCCGGGAAGCTAGACTATAGGCCAGGAAGTTCACACAGCGCTGCCTGTAACACGTGCGAGCTCCTGCTCCCCCAGCTCGTACAGGGTGAAGAGCAGCAGAAAGCTTATTTCAGGAAACACATTAACTCCCATAACACGTACTGAAAGGTGCCTTCTTTTCACCACCAAAACATGAAGGAGGGAGAGGAAAAACAATTTTACAACAGTGTGGCATTGTGACGATTATGTCAGGTAAGGTCCACAGCAATGAGGTCCTCCTTGTGGTTGGAGGGCTCAGGTAGGCCAGAGAAGGGAAAAGGAAAAGCAGAAATTGCTTTGCCATAAATAATATACAGTAAAGTTACAGTAAAAATTCTGCTCTAAACAAGTTATGCTAGAGAAGAAAAAAGAAAAAAAAAGGAGAGAAAACATGTTTGTCATCTAGCTTTGCCTCAAAACTGCAGGTTACTATAATCCCCACACAGACATTCCTTCCTCTGACATAAAAACAGAAATAAAGAGCAGCAATCCTTCCCACCTCCCCATTTTATTTTTTTTAAGGCTAGAAATATTTCTTGCTGGTTAAGAGATGGCTCAGCTTGAGTGTAAATACACACAGAGAAGGGAAATAAAACCCTTATGCCACAGCAGAGCCCATCTGAAGCCAGTCAGGAGCCACGTGCACAGCAGGCCAAGCCCTTGGGCTTCGCTACCAGAGAAGTCCCATGCTGAAGAAAACCACGTGTCACATGGGTGCTTAGCACGTTCGACCAGTATACTTTTTTTCCGTAGGAATTAAGGCTTTCCAAACTCACAGATTACATTGTGCGAAGCAAAGCTGAACAGAAGAAAGTTGTTTTCCTGCTATGACTCCTACCTGACCTGTGTCTGCAACTCGATTTAACAAAGCTCAGATGATAGAAGTCCCTCTTCCCCACAGTTCGGATGCCTGTGAGAAGCCCATCCCACCCGGCTAAGCACAACATGGTATCAAGTTCTTGCTTTTATTCCCAGGAATGAAGAGAGCTCACTAGGACACGGGCAGATATTACTGCTCTTTAGGAAAACTAGCAAAATATCTAAAAAGAATAACTGCAGTGCCAGCATAAGATACATTTGTTTTTAAATAAGTCGAAAATCAGATGCACATACTCAGTTCTTCAGACGTATTGCAGAGATAAAAATAAACCTCCCAAAATTTGGAAGCATTGGTCTTTCCTTCCCTAGCAGACAAAAAGAAATATGTTGGATTTAATAAGGGCAGAAGGCCAAGGATTAGCCATCCACTGCTCCTAACCCCTATTTCAAAATTTGTTAGTTCAGGTGAAAAAGCTACAAGCAGACAGAGTAATTTGTGATTTGCTGTAGCGTGAAAAATTGCAAAGAAGAAATATTGGCAATGATCAGACTGGCCAAAAGGGGCATCCCCAGACACCACAGCCACAAAAATGGATTTTTACAGAACATGAAGCATTTGAGGTACATCTGCAATCTGATTCATACCCACTTCCCAGATTTTTCTGCTGGCATCCCCCCTTTCACTTGCATTTCTGCTCTCTTTCCCCTACTTTGTGGATAAACCCCTAATAAGCCCTAGCAAATTTGCTGTAACGCTACCCTCAAGACTCTTCAGATTTAATGGCAAACACCACCAATACAACCAAGTCCTAAGTGAACACACTTGCAAAATTAAGTGGCTAGATGTCAGTTGTTTTCTCACTTTAAAATAAGCATATTGTTAACAGTTGATGAGCTCAAAAAGGCCATAACAGATTTCATGGGCACGACACAAGCCCTGGCCATTGTAATGTACATCTACTGCCCTATCTGCGCAGGGAGGAGCGGAGCTTGCAGCGCTTCCCGGGAAGCTTGTGACCCGCTGGTTCCCAGCCCCTCCGCCGCCTCGAGCGGGGGGAACGCACGGCCCTTCGGCAGAGCGCGCCGGGGCGGCAGCCCTGTCCGCACGCGGCGGGCACAGGCATCCCGCTGCCACGCAGAGACGGGGATGCGGAAAGCAAGAAACATCAACAGCCTCCTCACCCGGCTGGACTTGCTGCTTAGTTACACATCTGGCCTGCCGTTTCCTGATCCGCAGATTTGCCGGCCTGGTTCAGCGCGAGGCCTCTCTTTCAGAAACTTCAAGCATCGCAATCAACCACTGTCTTCTTAGAAAGACAGTTTTAATATTGTCCAAGTCTATAAAACATGTATTTAAATCCTTCATATATATCTTTTATATTAAAAAACAGTACCTAGACTAGTGAAAGTTTTATTCCTCTGCACATTTGGAGCAGAGGAGTTGGCTTTTATCCATCAGTCACTTCTGCCATTGAGGTGAGTACCTTCTCCACCTCTTCTTCCCCCCAGAACACCTAAAATCAGAGATTGAAAGAAAAAAAAAAAGTATTTGCCAACTGATTTATGCAGCAGGCACAAGAATATGTAACCCCCAACTGTCAGTGTGTCAAGATTCTTGGTATAAATTAAGTAGGCAGGAAGTTGACTATGAAAAAAGTAATTAATATAAAATTCTAATGAAGGGTTATATCATTACAACACTAGATTACTAGAAGGGCATCCAAGATTTTTGCAGACCTCCTGCTGGACTAGCTCCTCTCTACTTGTTCCACGTTCTTTAAACAGGCGACACAGCAACAGAAACACCTTTCTCCTAAGAAGGATCTTTCTGCTTTTTCCAAGACATTTTAATCAAGAGACCCAGCTCAGACACAAGAGCAATTTGCCCCAGGCTGGACAGCATGCACTGCAGTTCACCTGCAGCAGGCAAATTCTGTTGTGGAGAACAACCAAAGCCACCGTGCACTCCTCTCTAGTTGAGGATATTCATACTTACAGTTAATGCAAACCAGTTGTGCTCCCAGCAGCTTTCACAGCAGCTTGCCTATCTAAACATCTGTCGATAAGAACGATTAACAACCCTCAGCCATCACCGCATTGTATTTGGTTCAAGTTTTTACTTCGGAAGCCAAATGCAAAGAAGAGCCAGACTTTCTGAAGGAAAAACTCCTGCATTATAATGAATGTGCACTACATAACAATAATTGTAGCAAAATATCAGTGACATCCACTCAGAAACTTAACACATCCTTGAAAACACTTCCCTCATGTGATTCGATTTTACTGTATTAGAAGGAGCGTTCATTCGTTACACCACAGACTCATCTGTTTCAGCCATCTGTTAAAGTTCAGGAAACTTATACCACAAGATGACTGTTCCTGCAGGACAGCTGGCAGTGACAGATAACACAAACTCCAAGGAAATGTCCATAGAAGGCTCAAAGCGTTAAAATTTCTGTGATAAATGCAGGGCTGCCGTTTAATTGTTAACTCATGATCCAGAGCCTGAGCCATGGAGCAGGGCTCTTTCCAAGGGACTGGGATTCTCCATCCCGTGGATACCAGTCCAAGGAAGAAAACTGCTGCAGCAGAGGTGGCAGCAGCTCCCAGGTTCCTACCCACTCTCCACTTCCAGGTCCTACTCTCCCCTGCAGTCAATAACAGCAGTTCCCATGCACATGGGAAGAGAACCCGATTCCGCCTTTATTTTGTGGAAAGGAACCAAGTAGATAGGTCTGTCTAAGGAATCTGCATCCTACTAGAGAGGCAGAAACCATAATTTAGGAAACCTGGTAGTAAATAGCCTCTTCAAAAGAGTAATACTTCAATTGCTAGCACCAGTGCTTGAGCTAGGACAATCATTCGCAAGCCAATTCCTACAATTTCACAGGGCCCTGAGAGAGAGCAGACTGATTTTTTTCTAGGACAGCAACTTAAGCTTTTA